GCAAAAAATTTCTCTTGCGATTGTTCTTTTAAGAAAGCCGAAATCTTTGCCATTTCCGCCAGGTAAGATACTTTAAAAAACCACTCCTGCAAGGTAGGCAAAGATTCCTTCTTCCAGTATTGTCCTACTAACAACCTTGCGGCTGTGATCAGATTCAACATCAATATAACCTCCTTTGCATCGCAATCAATAACTATACCTAACAAAAATAATTGTGGAGTAAATTTTACCCTCTTTCTAAAGATTCTCTGAATATTCCACCATATCTTAATCCAAAAAGCTTTTATATTTTTACACGACCACCAAATATGATAATAGGTGGCGTCCAAACAACCACATCTCCAACATTTAGGCTGTAGGTCAGGATACATGAGAGACATTTTTTGTGGATCAAGGTGCCATCTATAAAACATTTTATAAAAATTCTCCCTTAAATTCTGGGCTTGTGTAAATTTAACATTCCTCACCCAGATAATTTCCCAGATATCCAGTGGAACTGGTTCTCCAAAATTCTGCGCCCATTTAATCATACAATCTTTAATTAATTCTGATTCTGAATCCAGTTCCACTAGAACCCCATAAATTCTCTTAATATGGGTTTGTCTTTGATCCTTTACTTGCTTGAAAAGATTTTCATCTTCTCTAAGAAAACCCACCTTACGATCCAACTTCCATCTATCTGCTAATTGTCTATATTGAAACCAAGAATAAGTAATATTTTCATGTACTAACTCTTCCAATAATTTTAACTGCCAGTTATGTCCATCCCATCTAAGTAATTGTGTATAAGACACCGTATCCATTTTAACACCTCTCCTTATGCCCTCTATCGCATGCCAAGGTATAGCCCATAGTGGTATTTTAAAATCACTTTTATAATATTTTCTCCAAACCCTAAGTAAAGAAGTTCTTATAATATGAGATTTAAAAACCCGATCCACTTTCTTATTAAATATTAAATAGGCATGCCAACCGAAAAGTAAATCCCATCCCTCCAGATGGAGTATCTCCAAATTTGTTAAATTTACCCAATCACTAATTAATGTTAAAGCCACCGCATCGTGGTATAATTTCAAATTCGGTACCTTGAGTCCACCTCTCTCACGGGAATCTTGCATGATTTTAAACTTTACCCTTGGTTTTTTCCCTGCCCAAATAAATTTATTAATACCTTTCTGCCATTCGTTTAAATTAATCTCATTCTTCAAAATCGGTAACATTTGAAACAAAAAGAGAAACTTGGGTAGGACATTCATTTTAATCACTGCAATTCTTCCCATGAGAGATAGCTGCAACTTCTCCCAATTCCTCAAGTCTTTCTGTATCCTAACCCACAACTTTTCATAATTATTCTTAAACAGTTTTGCATTAGAAATAGATAAAATAACCCCCAGGTATTTTACCTTATTAACAATTTCAAAACCAATCAGATTAGCCAAAATTTGTTTATCCCGAGTAGTCATATTCTTAGGTAATATCTTAATCTTATTAACATTGATCTTAAAACCCGAAACCAGTCCATATTGATGAATCAGCTGCAATAACATTACTACAGAATAAATAGGTTGAGACAAAGTAACCACCAAATCATCTGCAAAAGCTCTCAACTTATATTCTTTTTTGTTAACTTCTATTCCTTTTATTTCCTGCGACCCTCGAATCTTGATCAACAAAATTTCCAATGTTAAAACAAACAATAACGGCGACAATGGACATCCCTGTCTAGTACCTTTCTCTATTGTAAAAACCTCTGACAAACCCCCATTAACAATAAATTGTGCCGTTTGTTTTTGATATATCGCAGTAAAAGCTTGTAATATTTTTTCACCAAAATTCATCTCTTCAATTACTCGTAACATAAAATACCAATTCAGTTGATCAAAAGCTTTTTCAGCGTCTAAAAATATCAACCCTGCAGGAAATGGTTATTCTTGTCCAAATATTCTAATAAATTAATAATTTGTCTAACATTATTTTTCATATATCTACCAGTTATAAAACCAGATTGGTCCCTTTGTATGAGGTGGTGCACAACCCTCATGAGCCTATTAGCTAAAATTTTTGCAAAAATCTTATAATCAACATTTAAGAGAGACATAGGTCTGTAATTCTTTGGTAAAGTAAGGTCTTGATCCTCTTTTGGAATAAAGGATATAAAAGCACTGCGCCATGACGGAGGGATCTCTGAACCCTGTAAAATACTATTAAAAAGGTCAGCTAATGGTTGTATCATCTCTTCCATTAAAGTTTTATAATAAACAGATGTCAAGCCATCCGTACCCGGTGCTTTCCCTAATTTCAATTGTTTAATTACTATCGCAATTTCCTCATTAGTAATTAAACCATTAATTTCATGTTTCTGATCTTCTGTCAATTTAGGGAAATTAGCCTCACTTAAATATTTGTTTATATCTAGAGTTTGTACATTAGTAGATTTATATAGTTTTTGATAGTAATCTAAAAAAGATTTCTTAATCAATTCCTTCTGGTACACTAATTTACCCTTATAATTTATTTTATCTATTATTCTCTGTCTCTGTTTCTTTCTTAATTGGTAAGACAACCATCTCCCTGGTTTATTGGCATTGCAAAATGTATTTTGTTTCATAAACAATAAGTTGCAGATTGATCCGCCATCAACATATTAAATTGTGTTCTTAGCAACTTTATAGATTCTTTAATCTTTTCATCTAAAGGAGTTAAAATCAAAGCCTTTTCTTTTAATTTAATCTCATCTTCCAATTCTTTACGTTTCTGAATCTGCTTTTGTCTATGAAAATTATTCATTTTTATCAAGATCCCACGCATAAATGCTTTACCTGCATCCCATACCATTGACATTGGTGTCCCCTTATACATATTCAAAGCAAAATAGTCCTTTAAACACTCCTTTAACTTTTGAACATTCTTTTCTTGTCTAAATAAATTTTCATTCACCCTCCAGGATCTTCTCTCCTCTTTTTCTTGAATCAGCTCCATCCAGACTGGACTATGATCCGTCAACGACCTAGGAAAATCTTTACATTCTTTACCTTATTATATAAATCCGTTGTAATAAAAAAAAAAATCAATCCTTGAAAAGGATTGATGTCTATCTGAAAAAAAGGTGAAGTCTCTCTCCTCTTGATTACGTTCCCGCCAATAGTCTCTCAATTCCCAGTCTTCTTTCATATCAAAAAAGGCTTTAGGTAATTTAGCCTGTTTAAAAAGAGGAGAAGAACCTTTCTTGTCCCTTTGTGTGTCTAAGACACCACATTGCGTGGTCTTCTTGTTATCTGATTTGCCTGCTTTTTTTAAATATAGTGACTGTGTAATACTTTGCCTTGCCATGCCTCTCTTCTTCATTTGCTGTTTCTTATAGATCAGTTTGGTCTCTTTGGTGTTCAGTGATGTGGTGTTCATGATGTACTAGCTTTTCAATTCCTCTTTGTTAATGTCCTACAGGTGTTCTTCCAATGTCCCCTTTTTTCTTATTTTGGTTGGTTTCAGAGTTAGCTTTGTTGTCCATTTATTTTGTCCTCCCTAAGGACCTGTTATTATTATATAATTATTTCTACCATCCTAGCTGTGATTCCAGAGGAGTTTTCCTCCTTATCTTCAGTGTGCCTGAGAAATGTGTGCATTTAAGCATTTATTTAGAGCCCTCTTTTAAAAGCTTTCTCATTCATTCTTGTTTTCTGTCTGTCTGTCTGTCTTTCTTTCATTTGGGGCAGTACAAAGGTGGCCCTGCTGGTACCAGGACATAGAGACAGAATTAGACATTTTGCATTATTATGAAAAGAAATTATTACATCACCTATTCATGTTTCGATTTCTCTCATTCCTTTACTTTTGCCACCACTAAATTGAGCATATTCCAGATGTGCAAACTGGAACTTTCAAAATTTCATAGCCATCATTACTGAGAATTTTGGGACATGAAGTCCACACTCAGTTTGGAATAGTATATCCTAACTCTGGCTATCTCTCCTTTAGTGTTTCAAGATGGTATTTGCCCTTTTATGTATAATATCTTCTATCCTGAAGCTGCCATCCAAGCAGATTTCTTCTTATCCACTGGACATTTCAGTCTGCTGATCTAGGCATCCTCTCCCTGTTTTCCCAAGCAAACTCACAGGAGACTATTCTTTTCTTTTCTTTCTTTTTTTTTTTTTCTTTTGCATCTTGAAGACTTAATTTGTGACAGGCATGACTAAATATGAGTGGTGAGGTGGGGGCTAGTTCAAAAGGGATGAATCTCTAACTCCCCCTACTGGCTAGCATCCATAAAGGCAGCAGAGCTGATTCTACACAAATAGACACAAAAAACCTCAATCCCTAGTGAAAATGGTCACTTACCTGCTCTATATATATCACTACCATCCCAGCAGAAATAAATTGGAAAAGAGGCCTTGTACAAGCAAGTCAATTTGTTTTATCAAAAGTACAAAGCTTGATACAGAAAAAAAGTATTGATGAAACTTTCAAGTAACAACGGGCAGGTTGTGTGTGTGTGGGTGAGAGGGAGGGAGAGAGAGAGAAAGAGAGAGAGGGGGTCAAGAAGGGAATATCTCTAGGAGATGAATAGCCAAATTAAAGCTCATTTAGGCTCATGGCAGCAGGAAGAATACCTTCTTCTTTTTTTCTTGGACACAACATTTTGCCTCGTTTTTCCTCTTCCTATAGCTTCCTGTGTAAATGATGAATGCTTAACAATTAATGCTCATTGAAGGAGCCTCTTTCAAGCCTTATCTTTCATCCCCAAAAGAGGTGAAACAGCCTGGGGTTGAAACTTTTATTCCACCTACTCCTGGATGCTCCTGAGCCATCTGCAGGTCCTTGTAAGCTCTGGGTCATCTATGTCTGTTGTCCTGTATCTCAGGCCAACACAGGTAGTGGGCAAGTAAAATCTTGCTCATCAGCTTGGCTAAGTGCTGGAGAGAAATGCACTGAAAGGAGGGGGGCATTATTATTTAACTTTCCTGCTTTCTGTATGCTCTTTTTTCTCCTCTCTCTTCCAGGCAGAACCCATGGAAACGTCCCTTCCCACAGTTACAGTGAACGAACTTGAAGTTCCCATCAGTGGGGACTTCGAAATTCATGAGGAAGAGGTAGCTCAGACCGAGCTTGGCAATGAAGTGGTGCCCCTGGTCACCCCTGCAGCCGGGCCAGGATTGAAAAAGAAAATGGAACCAGGGCTCCTAGACAATACAATAGAGTCTGGAAATTCAGCAGCACAACTCCCCCAGAAAAACATATTGGAAAGGAAAGAAGTGCTCATAGGTAAGATGTATTACAGATTGCCAATCTGGCTCCATGGCCATGTCTGAGGGGAGAGAATGGAATGGTCTTTGTGGAAAGCAACTTCAAATGCATCGAAAGCCAGAGGATTGGCTTCCTTGCCTCAGAGCGCATGAGGTGGCTTTCCAAAATGTTGCCTTGAGGAATTTACTATATTGCATCGGTTAGTTGTCAGACTGATCAAGATTCAAGACACATTGTGTAGAGAGTAGCTGCAAGCTGCGCCATAATCCATGAAAAGACATCACCACCTTGCTGGATCACTGGAATGGTTGTTTGAAAGAAGTTCAGAAATTCTCTAGCCTAACATATGTGGGGATACAATATTAAAAGGGAATAGCTCCATGGCTAGAATTTTTGTAACCACATCCCATCCCTCTAATCTCAATAAATGTTAAAGAAGACAAATCTTGCTTGAAGGCATTATTTCTAACCAAGGCAACTGCCAGACTATCTGACACTGCAAGCTGGACTATAGCGTGGAAGAAACAAGGCAGAGGAAGGAGAAAGACAAACGTTCATATACCTAAACTTGCACTATTGTGAGCCATCATTTCTTAACTTTCTAGTGTTTTTTTTTTAAAATTATATTGTAAAAATCCACATCACTTACCATTTTCAACTCAAAACTTTCCTTTGCAATTTCCCTAATATGTGCATAATATTTAACATAAATGTCCCATGTCATGCAATTTTACTGAGGTGTGAAGATTACTTTTGATCCAGTCTGATTCAGAATCGACTCTGAACATTCATTTCAGTGATTTGATCTTAAATTGACTTGTTTCAAAAGTTAGATTTCATTCAGAGTCTTGCTTTCAAAACGCACCTCTAAACCGAAGTTTCCACAGTCCTTGTTTTCTATGGCCTTTTTTCTTTTGTTTATCTCATTCTGCTTTTTAAAACAGATTTTCCTTAAAGTTCTCCCCCTTCCATGCTTGATTTATTGTGCAACACCTTCATCTTATTCTATCTGAGCCTGCTTTTATGCACTGTTTTTATTGTTGCAGCGACTTCTTTGGCCACTGACCATAAATAAATAGAAATACATTTCAATTTTCAACTTTCCAAAGGCTGCTAGGCCAAAATGCGTCAGGGGTCCAATCCAATAGGGCCCTGCTTAGGTTCTTATGTACATTTGAAGTCAACCACAATCATTCTCATAACTCTTACAGTATAGGCTCATCTAATGCCTTGATCCAGTATTTGAGGGGAAAAAACTCAATTTTTCAAAGCTTTATGGAAAGCTAACAATTTTGGGAGCATGAAAACCCAGTGAAATATAAAATATGTCAGAGGTAGCTGTGGTGGGGGTGGGATGATAAAAAAGTCAAGATGGTGGGCACAACCATCAAAGATACACTCCATTTGTATGCATGTGACATGTTAAAAAGGGGATTTCAGTAATGCAGTTGCAGCCACACTCTTGACTATTTTGATTCTCCCTCTATAGACACTTCTGAAATCCATCCATCGGTCCATCCACCCATCCATCAGTCCATCCACTGTCCATCAGTCCATCCATCCATCGGTCCATCCATCTGTCCATTCCTCCATCCCTCCTTCCCTCCCCAAGATTTTAATATTCAATTTTCTAAATTTTTGTTTTTATACAAAAGGTAAGCAGATAAAGATGTCTTTAACTTTCCTCTGTGGTCCCTTTGCAGCTGTGATTGTGGGAGGGGTCGTCGGGGCCCTCTTTGCCACTTTCCTGGTGATGCTTTTGATCTACCGGATGAAGAAGAAAGATGAAGGAAGCTACACGCTGGAAGAGCCCAAACAGGCAAGTGTCACATACCAAAAGCCTGACAAGCAGGAGGAATTTTATGCATAGACTGGAACTTCAGGTGCCTCACAATCTCTTTCAGTCTCAATGCTGTCCTTTTTTAAAAAACAACAACACTACAAACCCATCTCTGATTCAACTTGTCTCTTTCTAATCAAGTCTATCAAGTTTAACTCAAAAGTTTGAAGAAACCAACCATTTTAAAAAGAGTTGCTCATTTTTAGAAGGCAACAAAGCTGACTTGCATTGTAGCATGGGAGATCCTGAAAGGAGTGCCGAAGTGGGGGACCCAAGAGATAGATCTTTTGACTGTCTCCTAGAAGATCTTCTGGAATTAACAGGAAGTCCTGGTCTCATGCCTAACTCAGGACTAGAGCACTGATCTTTTTTAAAATTAAGTGGACACTTTTGGTTGTCGATACTTTCTGATACTATTGAAGACAAGGGTTTGACTTCATGTGGTAGAAGATGCAATATTTGATAGAACGGCTGCTCATAGGCCACCACCTCTTCCAACTGAGCAACTGTGCTGGAGTTGACCCTTGGGATTGCTTCCTTGAAGATATCATCTGGTTTGCAGGGGCACTCCTTGTATCTTGCTTCCTTTCTCCCTTCATCTCATCACTGTTCACAGCCAAAAGACATCAGATGCTACCTTTCTCTTGCAAACCCACCCTAAGCTTGCCTTGCTTTCCAGCTGAAGCTTGTGCCCAGATTTATTGGGATTCATTGTGACGTTAAATCTTGATTAGCACAGTATTGCAAGTCTAGGCAAGAGGCTGAAGAGCATTTTTCTAAGATATTGATCATGAGGAGGAGATGGCAATACCCATTTTTTTTAAAAAAAATAAGTCAAGCTATCTTCTAAAATCCTGTAGGAAATAGATGATATTTCACACATCTTGATGAATGGTGTGGTCATTTCTTCATTGGCGGGGGACTGGTGGGAGGTTTATTGGGGAAACCAAGAGTAGAGTGATGTGAGCCTAGATCTTTGATTCCATGGAACTCTGTAAATAGATGAAATAAGTACAGTATATAGAGGGGGGGGGGAGAATCCTGATTCTTCTGAAGCAGTAAGTGGTAGAGTAACAGTAAGCATAAAAGAGAAACGTTTCGGTCAAGTTTGTTAAGCAAGTTCATATTTTATAACAATGTAGGAGAGGTGACTGTGCTGACCCCAAAGAGTTATAAGGATGTTATAAACCCCAGTCTGAACAAAGAACAAGAATAAAAATGGTAAATGATCCAGATAATTGGAATGTTGGAAACCATGCAATAAAATCAAGCAGTGGAAAGAACCAGTGTTTAACCTATTGGAAGGTGAAGTCAAAATAACAAATATGTAGTAATTGTTTGAAAAAAGACAAATGAATGATAAATGTGCTGTAATTATGTCAGTAATAGAATGTTGTTACAAGATGCTTGTTGTTCTTGATAATTGATAATTCCTGTTGCATTAACTGAATGTTGTACACATGCACCTTGAGTAGAGTGCAATGACCAAAAGCTGTGATCATATTATTTGTGGTTGTGAAGAAAGTAGAAAGGATGTAGAGTTGTACATTAACACACTCCCGACAAATTCATATGGAGAGAAGCTGGGAATTATGTTTTTAAAAAGTAGTGAAAATGGAAAAAATATCAAAGGTGCAGATAAGTAACTTCCAGCATCTAAAAGCTTGTCAAAGCCATTGAAGGGGAAAAAAGAGTGTTGTTTTTAGAACAATAGTAATTTTTATTGAATTTTCAAACCAATACAGTTAATTATAGTAGTACTTCTAGTAATAAAACAAGTAATAATGATTAAGAACCAAATTAATACACTTCATTTCATTTCAACCATCTTGAGTAAATTATACATCTAAAAAATTAAACAGCGCAAAAGAAAAAAAAGAATGAAAAAATATAAAAAACATAAACATTGTGAAAAATTAGTACTTTTCTATTATGTTAAAGTAATAGTATTGTATGATATTTATTCAAATTGTTACAAATTAGTTTTTAAACTTCATGTTAAATCTGGAGCACCTATAATCATATCATCCAATATTGCCTCTTGATTGCTGCAAAGTTGGAGAATTCACAAATTTCATTAAGCCATGCTCTGGAATCTTAAGGATGTCTCCTTCTAGTAATATACCAGAATCACTTAAAAAGAAAAAGACAACAATTCAGATTTGATATATCCAAACCTTTTTACAGATACACAATGCTCAAACTTTTAGAAAGTACAGGTAGTCCTTGATTTATGATCACAATTGAGGCCAAATTTCTGTTGCTAAGTGAAACATTTGTTAAATGAGTTTTGCTCCATTTTACAACTTTTCTTGCCACAGTGGTTAAATGAATCACTGTGCTTGTTAAGTTAGTAACATGGTTGTTAAGTGAATCTGGCTTTCCCATTGACTTTGTTTGTCAGAAGGTTGCAAAAGATGATCACATGACTCTGGGACACTAAACTGTCATAAGTACATACCAGTTGCCAAGCATCTGAATTTTGTTCCCGTGACCACAGGGATTCTGCAATGGTCATTAGTGTGAAAAATGGTCACAAATCACTTTTTTCAGTGCTGTTGTAACTTTGAAAGATCACTAAATGAACTGTGGTAAGTCGAGGGCTACCTGTAACTTATTAACATTCCTCAGCTTAAGGAACAAAAAAAAATAGCTGTTCAAAACAAAATGAAAGAAATTAAAACACCAATGTTTTAGGTAAAATCCTATATATCTATCACATAATATTACAATCATTTGAATGGGGAAATGGAAAAAAAATCCATTCCTTCTACCCATTCAGCATCCACATGTTGATTTGCCCACATGTTCTCCAACATGTGGTTTAGAAGAATCTGAAAGTGAAAATGAATGTGTTAGTTAGGTATCCTCTAATATACAGAGGACAAGGACCAACAGATGGAGTGGGAATAATACATTCATCCCCCATTTTCCCTTCATGCAATTATTATTGGGCATGTCTGAGTGGGTGGGTGTTTGAACTAATTGATGCAGTGGTGGGATTCAGCCGGTTCCCACCAGTTCAGCAGAACCGGTAACCAATTTTTTATTGCCCAGGCCCAGAATGGACTTCTGGAAGCGGCATCCACACAGAGAACTGTTTATGGACATATTTGAATCCCACCACTGGTTCTAGTCCCGTCCTAGGAATGAAAGTCAGCTGGGTGACTTTGATCCAATCACCAGGAGACTGTGAGTTCTAGTCAGTGGTGGGATTCAGCTGGTTCGCACCAGTTCAGCAGAACTGGTAGCTAACTTTTGTTGCCCAGGCCCCAAACGGACTTCTGGAAGCGGCATCCACACAGAGAACTGGTTGTTCACATATCTGAATCCCATCACTGGTCTGATGGGTCCATTGTGCAAGATGGCACCCAGTGAACTCTCTTACTATGGATATAAAAATTCAGCGTTTGCCAACTTTGACCTTGAACAAGCTAAAAAGGATTAGGCCTGGTTAGCATTTGGATGGGAATCCAGTCAAAAAACATCCGAGAAGAAGACCAGAATGGGAAATCCAACTTCTGAATCATTGCCAAATTCAAACAGTCATCAGGAGGGGAGCCTGACTTGAGAGACACTTAAATTTGTTGAATTGAAAAACAACAAAAATAAAACTGGCAAAAGGGAAAATGTTGAAATTACATGTGTGTGTGTGTGTGTGTGTGTGTGTGCGCGCGCGCGCGTGTGTAACTGTATGTTCAAACTTAAGATATTTGAGAGCATATGCATATTTTTATTCTCAGCCCATATTAATCCACTGAGGGACAATTCCATCGAAGGTTGTGGACCATCTTCTATCAGTGCAGGTTGTTAGAAAGATGTTTTTTTGACCTCTCTAGGACTGAGAGAAAGTTGCTGGCCCAAAGTGACCCAGCTGGCTGGGTGCTTAAGGGAGGACTAGAAGCTGGTTCTCTCTCTTCCTAGTCCAGCTTTTTAACCACCCTATACACAATATTGGTGGGCTTGCTGTTGCTCTCTTATCCCACTCTCACCACCCTCCCATCTCTCTACACCAGATCTTGTGTGAAAGTACAGAACAGTGGTCCCTGAGCTCTGAGAAGGTTGCTAAGCTTAGCAGTCATTTGGATTGTTCAGCAAACTTTGATTTAAATGACTCAGCAATGTCTGAATCTATTTATGGCACACCATAAAGATTTCAGTTGATTCAAGAGACTTTTTTTTGTCCATTCCAATGGGTTGAGAGAGATTTATTCCACAGATAATATGCAAAAGTTGCAGCTGTAGATAGCAAGAAGAAATAGGCTTCATTTTAAGAATGGTTTGATGTCAGGACATGGAAAATTGCCTCTAGACATTTTGAAGGAGATTTTATGAGCCTTTCTTAACAGCGGTACAGAAAACTCCCATTCTTTAGTTATAATGATTGAGAGGGAGAACAAACAGGTTTGATTTAATGTCTTTAGTCTCACAAGGAAGGAAGGTAAATCAACAGGGAGAAAGGGAAGGAAAAACAGAACAAAATGTTATGCTTAAATTCCCCTCCAGACAGAAAAATAAATGTGGTTATCCCCCCCCCCAAAGAACAGAAATCTGTTGGATTCTTGTTATTGGGGTGGAAGTTGGAATTAGTAATTGTAACCAAAAGGTTTGAACTGGAGAAGTTGAGTAGTCTGCTTTAGCAGAATAACAGAGTTGGATGGGACCTTGGAGGTCTTCTAGTCCAATCCCCTGCTCAAGCAGAAAACCCTATGCCATTTTAGACAAATGGTTATCCAATCTCTTCTTAAAAGAGCTTAGTTAACTAGTTAGCTCTAACTGTAGTTAACTAGTTAACTATGTAGTTAACTAGTTAGCTCTAACTTAGTTCCTTTTAATGATAGAAAGAATATACTGCTCATGAGCTGTTGAGTTTGGTGTTATGGTGTTATGCTATGCTGCATAAACATTCTTCAATCAGCACTCTATAGTTGTGTTGGATAATATTTCCCATCATTCCCAAATAGGGACACCACATGACTATAAATTATGGTGTTCACATTCCAATACAACTGTAGTCACCAAGTTGGGGAGGACTGTCCTTGATTTCAAGCTTTGCAGTGAGCAAACAGTGGTTGTCTGAAGCCTCCCACTTATATTGGGATTAAGCCACACATTTCCAATTCCAGACATCCTATCAAAGAGTAATGTTTCTGGCTGTCTTTGCTTCTCAACCTCAAAAAAGCTTCTATGTTTTCCCTAAGGATTTTTGATGACAGTGTTTCTCAATCTCAGCAATTGTAAGATGTGGGAAGTTTGATTCCCATAATTCCCCAGTCAGCATAGCCTTTGAAGTCCACACTTCAAAAGTTGCTGAGATTGAGAAACACCAATCTATGGTATCACCAGGCAGAAGAAATCTAGGATTGAGGCTCTTAAGTTCTAGAACGCTTTCGCTAGTCTGGTACCTTCTAGATGTGGACCAGAATACAGCTCCCAAAGTTTTCAACAAAGATAGCCAGTGACTGGCAATTCTAAGAGGTGATGATGAACCAGAGATGGGAACCTTATGGTCCTCCAGATGTTGCTACATCTCACCAGCCACATCTAGCATGGGGAATAATGTGAGATGCTGGGAATAACATCTGGAAAGCACCAGTTCTTTGCCTCTGGCCTTGAGCAACCAAATGTTCAACTGTGTTGAGGCTTAATTTGTGCCTTGAAGGCTAAGCTATTTTGGAAGGCGCAACTAACAAGGAAAGAAATGATATCCTTCTGCAGAAATAACAAAAATGTCTCTTCCTCCTTCCCAGAGCTCTTCACAGGGAGTTCTCTTGCCATCAACTCTTGCTCTGAACATGCCACTGAGAAATCTTTCAGAAAGAACTGCCTTAAATCTTAATTCATGTCAGGACCAGCACAACGGACAGCCAATCACTCTGGTAAAAGATTTATTTTGAAGAGAAAGCCTTATGAAGTCTCACCTTTGAACAAATTGCCATTTCTGTTCATTAGTGTCTTCAAGTTCAATGCTATGTGTGTGAGTTTAGTTCTTTTCTAAATTATGTTCAGCATTCTAGACCAGTTTGAGTATTGTGCTTGGAAAGAATGGTAGCTCAGTTGCAGAACCCCTGCCTTGTAGAGAAAAAGTTTCAAGTTTAATCATTAATATCTCCAAGGTAGGACTGAAAAAAATACCTACTTGGACAATTGCTGCTAATCAGATTAGAAGTCTGAAATAGGTGGCTGTAGGAAAAGCATTCTTGTACTCCACTATGGTGTGTTTAGATGCAGATAATTTTCTGTGATCCATCTATACGTGTGTTTTGTGTGAGTGAGAAATCAGAAATAGCTTCTTTAAAACTGACAATCAGAATAAGAGCAAAAAAAATACCATATTCATACACTGTTTTATACAACTTTTTTCTAAAAAAATCCTTTTATCAGTAAAACAGCTTGCTTGCTGCAGAGACTTCACCTTTGTTTGTGTCTCTCAAGACAAAAATCCAGTCTACCAGTTTTGTAAATAGGAAACAAAACGTGTATAAAAATTTCAGAAATAAAGCATTAAGATGTCTATCTCCCAATTAACTCTCAAAAAGAATTGAAATGGCAGTGAATAATTTCAGCAGAATTTAGATAAAATAGCCCAAATGATATTCTGTGCTATTAACTCCGGGGAGCAAAGCATGTAAATATTTTAAAGGATAAAATGTCTTAAAATAAAACAAGAATGTATATAACTTCTAGAGATTAGTATCAAAATAGCTATTTAGTGTCTGTTTTTAAAAAATGGAGGATGGATGACAAATTTCTTTTAAAAAGAACCACATGTTTAATTGTTTTTGACCAGAGTCTATGGCCAAAACTTTTAAAAATTATTAAAAATATTTTTTTTTGCCAATGTAACACTGTAATGGTAATGTCTATTTTTTTTTAATTACTCTTGTGTTGCGCCCATTT